ATTAATTTTAATCATATTAGTGCACGATTTTCAATGTCTATTCCTTCTTGCCTGGATTTTTATTATTATTGCAATTGGAGATTGCGTTCAGTTTGGATCAATTATGTAGCGGATTGCTACATATAATAAATATAGGTATTGGAGGAAACTCAAATTCGTAAACAACAATGTTTATTTATTATTACATACAATATCTTATCGCGACAATGTAACTTGACTTGACTCGTGTATCTGGACGGTTAGAGAACGAAGAAGCGCTTTCAGCACTTCTATCCTTATTTTACGTCTCATGAAAGACAGAATGATGATTACAAGCTCTTAAAACGCGTGAGCGTCCAAACCGAACGTAATTATAGTGGATCAAACTATTCAAAGAGAAATAATGTTTAAATGTAAAAAAATAGATATGAATCGTAAATGGCGATTAATATCTCTTTCCTGCTTTTAACTTCAAAAACTTTCCTTTTTGTGTCAATCGATAATTGATGTGTTATAAGTGCATGAAATTTGTATTATAAGAATATATCTAATAAATTTCAGATTTCCAATGATTTTTTGAATTGTCCATAGCAATTATAAATATTTTAATTTCTTTGCTTTACATATTTTTTAATTTAATATAGATAGAAAAAGCGTTTATCTTTATTCTAGGATTTCTAAGATCTCTAAGGTTCCATTTTTCATTTTCTGGTTAAGCTTAACCATAAATTAACAACATAATGAAAAATTAGGCCTAAGGCCAAAGACCTACATTAAAATAAGTAAAGAAAAATAAAGTACAATGAAAAGAATATAATACAAAAATGAGAAAGTGATGCTGCGAAATTACTGTAAGAAAGCAAGACTGTGCGTAAATGTACATGGAGATATATTAATTATAATCCAGTACTTCCTAGTGTGGCTATCGCGTATATCCTTTTTGATTAGCATGTTTACACGGCGATACCTATCAAAGTATGATGAAACTCATCATTTACATCAAACACATTTCAAATACGAAAATGTATGTTTCGTGCCATTTTCTCTGTAAGATCCTGTCTTTTAGAGATACTAAATATGTTCAGTTACTTCCGAAATAAAAATCTATTAGATAGAAGTTATGTATACGAAGACTTTTGACTTTTCTGGGTTGGAATCATTCAAACGGAGGAGGAGAGAGGAATTTCAAAACATAAATATTTTATCTTTTGTTATATATGCAAAATATATTTATACATATATACCTTAATCAAATATTGTTTTTTGTCAAATTACTCCAAAATTTTTTTAAATTTGTCAAAAATTAATATATATTTTTAAATATTCCGAATTCTGGATGTGGAATTCAATACTCACAAGAGCTTTGGGTATAAAAAGTTCCATTTCCTCCTTTGTTATGTATCTTCAATATCTACAGCTAAGATTTATATGTTTGTATGCATGCTGATTATATATATAGAACAGAACATAGTTAATAATGTGATACAAATCAGTTTTTGTATATTAATATAGGTATCTTAAGAATATCTTTTCAATAATTATACATTTGTCAAATACATACTGAAAGATTTTATGTATTCATAAAAAAAATATTTCGATGTTACAATTGAATGTTTATGTAATTATCATATTAAAAAAAAAGTGAAATAAAAAGATAAGGAAATGCAGTATATAGTATTTACACACTTAATTCTCAGGTTTCCTCTTTTTCAAGGAAGGTCGATCAAATATTTGCTTCATCCCCGCCGCTTGATTATTGTGAAATTTGAGATTTTGAGCTGTCTCTGATATCCAAGGTGAATCAAACTGCGTCGTGTCCTGATCCACCAAGTGAGTGTATTTGGTTCTTCCGCTGCGGCCAAAGTTCTTCACTTGCATGACCTTTGGTAAAATCGTCTTGTCGAAATGATCCTCTAAAGTCGCGCCAGAGAAATCGCGCTTAAATATAGCATCGTCCTTGTCCAAGTAGAACGCGCCACGATGATAATATTTCTGCAAGAATTTGTACTTTCCTTTGGCCGCTTTATTGGTGATCATCTTAGGATTTAATCGTGCCTCTTGCCTTCGTTCCTCCTCAGTCATATTACGAATACGCTCGATTTCTAGACGTTCTTTCTCAAGCTGCTCCCTTTCTTCGCGATCACGTTTGATCCTTTTAAGCTCACGCAGCTTCCAAGCTTCGTATTCTACTTCATCATTCTCGTCATCAGTACAAACATCGTTCAGCTTACTTTCCTGCTCGGTATTACCTTTATTGCTCATCTGCGTCTCTTTTCGTACCGTCTCTTCCACCATTCTCAGAGTTTGTCTTTTTCGTTCCTCAGCTGCTTTTTTTGCCTCAGCTTCCGCTTGTTTCTGCCGCATCGCCTCTTTCTCTTTTTCCATCACCGTGATTCTATCCTTTTTGCGAACGAATACAGGTTTTAATCGTGGTCCAGTCTCCTCCTCGGAATCTGTATACTCTTCATATTCCGAGCTCTCTTCTGAGCTTTCTCCTGATCTATCTTCTTCCTCTCCCTGTATTAATTCCTCCTCCGTTTCCTTCCTAGACAATACTCGCTGCTTCAAGGCCTCTCGTCGTTTTTCTATCTCCGAATCCGATAGTTCTTCATCTTCGGATGAATCAGAACTCTCCAACTTGATCCTTTCTCGCGTTCTCTCTAATTCGATCTCGATAAGCTCGGGCTCGTGAATATGTCTGTGCCTCTCCGCGCGTACCTCAGTTGGTATTTCCTTTTGTTGGCGTGTTAATCTTCGCAAACGTGGATCATCCTCATCCCTACCTTTTATATGCGGATGCAAAGTAATATCTGCGCCAATATCGTCGTCATAACCCTTTTGCACACGCTTCTCGAGAAAATCCTCATCCTCTGATTCTTCATCTGAACTTACTGCTGCATAATCTGGCCGCTTACCAGAAACATAACGATGTACCTTCACCTTCTTCATAGACAACTCTCCTGTAAACATAAACAGTTTTTTTAGAAATGCTGATATGCACAGAAAAGTAATATCATAACCTAAGTAATATCATAAATGTTATATATAAGAATAAAGATAAATTAAATATTCTTAAAATAAGATAAAAATAAAGATGTTTAAAATAGAACAAATATCTTCTCAGTGTCTTCTCATAGACATGTTCTGTATCTCCAAATATTTCTATATCTTCTATATATTTCTATATATTTCTGTATCTTCAAATATATTCTAAATATCTTGTTTGTTAATCACTATTGCGCATAGATGATTGTAATCTAACTGCGAAACATAAATAATTTACAAATCTCTTAATAAATATACGATTTGTAATAGATATTAAAATAAATAAATAAAAATAAAACATATGTATAAATCATGAAAGTATCAGAATTCAGGACTAATAAACAAAAATGTCAATTATATATTATTTTGTAAATTTTCTTTAATATTGAAGAATAAATAATTACATTCTATCAATATTGTCTATTTCTACTAATAAAGTAATTAAACTGTAATCATGCTTCAATGACACTTCATTTTTTCTTAATTCTTAATAAATCTAATAATTAAAAAAAGATGAAGAGTAAATTGAACTAAAATAAAAGTTAATCTGTATTGATAGAAAGGGATATGCACTATTTTTTTAATCTTAAAACGTTTGTGAGATTCGCTGAAACGGATGTTAAATAAATCTTTCATTTTGGCAAACATAAGCTAACCTTTATCATTCTTTACGGGCACAGCACCCGCGGTACTTTGTATCCCCATGGGTGCGGGTGCTAAGGAATTGTTCGTCACAAAATAGTCCATCATCATTTTGATGCCTTATTGAGAAACGTTATATGTTACTGAAATACAAAAACTAAATACAATTCGAACGGACTTTTACTTTACGATCATTGACCATTCTCGAATTGATACAAACGCTCTGTCTGAAATCTGAACTTTGCTGAACTCGGAATATCCTGAAGTATGGCATTATAGCAGTGGTCCATCGTTATCTACAATCGAAAAAAAAGATCGTGTTATTATCCACGATCGATAAAATTAAAGACTTATGTTATCGACTTTAATCATCAATTTTGATTAATTTTCGTCTTTCGATTAATCGTTTTTTCGTTCAAAAATTGTTAAAACATTTCGAATTGATATTGAAATATCGAGATGTAATAAGAATATTCTTTTTAATTGAACTTCTTGATTCATCTTTCCTTCTTTTTTCTTCAAGTTGAAAAAAAGAGAAAAATGAACTTTACAAAAAGTAAAGAACAGTTGATCTGATACGACTATCACGCTTTTCTTCTCGCACTATTTCCGCGATTTCTTTTCTCTTTTTTTCGCGTTGCATAAATAATAATTCTTTTCATTCTTTCCCTCCTTGATATAATTTATATTGTAATATAATAATTCAGAATTGTCTAAAAATTGAAATTGAATTTTTCAAAGAAGTTAGAACAGCAATTATTTAATTGAATTTTGAGCTCCCCGACAGCTCAGCAAAATGAATTAACTCCCTGGGAATTAATTTGGAGCTTGTGTTGTGTAGATTTGACAATAATATACTAGAAAGTGTGTGTCATGAAGTAGTTTACATCGCATTTCGCAACGTTTACATATAAAAGTGGTCCACACTTTATCAAAGAGATATTTTAGGATGCTTAGTGGACATCTTTATTAGACTGCTTTAGAGGTCCTGTATTATGGAGTCATTATATTATATTATATATATATATATTCCCATTGTCACATATATAATATATA